AGCCCATCCGGTCGCTCTCGGTGAATAGAAAATTTAAGTGTGGGCTGAATGGCTTACTTTGTTCAGTGCAAAGTTGAGTGACAGATGAAGTTTCCTTAGTATCTTATACATACATTATGTATATTCATAATCTTTCAGCACCAACTGCTTTTAGTCCTTTCAAGTTTGTTAAGTCATTGCGACGAACTGTTGCATAGTACCGAAGATATAATTCGGAATTGAACGGTCGTGTATGACCTTTACACATCCTTTTACTTCAGTCATTATTTCAATAAACCCAAATAGTCGTCTTTCGATCAGCAAGATAGAAACAACATAGAATCACAATTTGCAAACTGAGTTTTAAGACGATAGTTTCAAGCATATTGTTATTCGACAACAGAACCGAAAAAAATGACCCATTCAGCAGAATCTTCTTGGGTATTCAAAAATTTCATTGGTGTAAATGCACCATGTTGGCTTGGAAAATGAAGATCCTGTTCTCCACCATTACCAAAACCGCCCGTGTCCTAGCAGTAGACTATACAATTTTTATACGGGACGCCTTCAGTTTGACTCTCCCAACAAGAAATGCACAAATGTACAGTGAGTTTGATCTCTCAGCATAGGATGGATCCGCTTCTTGTATCAAGTGTCAACCATAGGCACCTTTGGTTGGTGGATTTGTCAAGGTCAAGGGTTATCTTCTCAGTACACCCGGAGAGAGACAGTGAGTTGGCAGTTGAACCCTTCAAGAATGTTGAGTACCTCCTTCCATCGCTTCCATAAGCAAGGCTATTGTAATAAAGAGCATTACCCTAAATCTCGACATGTATCACTTTCTCCTGTTCTTGCGTTCTCGGGGACTAACAGCCCTGGACCACATGATATGACTTGGAATAAAGCATCGTGTTGTTTACTACTGCGCGTGCCGTGGAGCGTTTGCGGAGTGTGTGTAGTAGAGCGCCACTTCGAAGAACCACTGGAACAACATGACCACCTAATCTACACAAGATACGAACTGTGATCCTTCCTCGGCGATCCGTATCAATGCGGCATTTCTCCACTTCTCGAAACTGATTCGCACTTTTTCTCTCTAACGCATTTCATGTCTTGTCAAAAACTGAATAATTCCAAACTTTATGTAGTCCGATGCATAATAGCACAATCTGGTGTCCGTAACATAGAGTTATAAGAACAGAACTGAAATAAATTACTGGTTTTTCCCACATGTGCATCACCATGCACCGCATGAATTGTTTGGTGCAATAGTAGTACATTACTAATGGGTTGGCACGCACCATCGACTGACGTAAATGCAGATAGCATTCCAAACTAATTTATCAGCTACCCCGAAACAGCCCAGACAGACTGCACAATATAATCGGAGCTGAGCTGGCTAAGGTGAACAGGATTGGTAAGGAAATAAATTCCCGTGAAATTCGACAGATGAATAAAGTCTTTGTTCATAGTCACACCACGCTCGTTTGAACGGTCGTCCTCTTGTTCTGGCGTAATTATTCCGGTGAGTCCACACCAAAGAGAAGCACTGGACTCGAGTTTCGCCCTTATTAGAGCTCATCAGCATTGCATATCCAACGGTCGTGCCGGGATTTGAATCCCGGACATACGTGTTACCAATACTCCACCAACCCACGTTGGACGCATCTGAATTATCACGTCTGAACAGGCAAACGTGTTCACACTTGAGCGATGTGATTGGTTGGTGCCCGACTCATCGAACGACGACCCAGTAACTGTCGTCGTTGTTACGATCGAATACAGTTTTGATAGATCCTAGTTTTCATAAAATCTTCTACGTGTAAACGTTGTCATTGTGAGACACAGCCTCCCACTATGACTGTGTGGTCATCAAGTCAGGGATCTGCAGGGATTGGTTAACGCGTTCGGACCAGCAAAAGAAAACTTACTTAGAAATGCGCTACCGTACTGAGGAAACTACTCAGCTACGGAAGTGCGCTGCTTGCGTTAAACGACAACTGCGGTTGGATAACATCACTGGAAATGCAAGACAGATCTCCTATCTTTGAATGCTCACTGCATAAAACGAAAGACAAGGAAGAGCGATGATACAGCAAGAGGAGAGCAGTGATAGACTGAAATCATCTCATGTGCCTCGACTAACTCACGCCCGTTTCATTACATCCATACACTGGAAAAGGTCTACGTCGTATTCCTCTTGTATAGCAGCGAACACTGCGTACAGAAAGCGTACAGCTGTAGCACCCTTCCGGTGCCTGGCTGCCATGCCACCCGAATGTTGAACGAGGGCTGGGATACTGCCAGGTAGCCCAAGTCTAGACAGGGGAAGTCGAGAGGCGGAGGTCGGATTCGAACCACGGACCTTCCGGTCAGTAAATTCGCGCTCTGACCACTTGGGCCATTTCGCGAACAATCTAAAAACTTATGAAAGACACACGTTACTGATCACAACTAATTCGTTTGGTAGCAACCGTGGGTAAAATTTCCCTGGCTCATTTTCTTCGTACAACCAGTATTTACTAGTACATTGTTTTTCCATCCTTCCAAAAGCTTTCTCAATCCATCTTTTGAAGCTTGTGTTGCATTCCTGAGGCCTTTAGAGATCTTAGGTCAGATACTTTCCACTTCTGAGTCACTGAATAAAGCCCCCCATACAACTACTTAAGTAAATTTGCCACAGATGATGTTCATTACAACTCCGGTCAATGTCTTCGAGGAAACAAAATCAGCTCTTGCTTCTTGGGCTTTTATGACCAGTTTGTCCCAATTCATTATATCCGACCTTACATTGACCTGGATTCTATTGTTTTTGTGGGCTTGGCATTGATCAACTCACATCATCAGACACGCGCACGGTTCGATGGCCAGGTGTAAGAGACGAGCACACACGCACCCGTCTTTGAATAGATGTTTTACTGTTACATTGAAGTGAATTACGCCTGAAGGATCTTGATATCGTTTCTTGACAAGCAAATTCATCCGTTCGACGAAGAGTGACTCTTTGGATTTGGAAACCACTTGGGATATGCAGGTATTAGACTCCTCGTTGATATCCCAGCAAACAAAACCCCATACAGTGGAGTGGCAAAATATTTTCGTTTCAAAAGTGAAGGTTCTTGCAGTTTTTCTACTTGGTTTATTTAAGTAGTTGTCAGACATGACCACATCTATCCCCGAATTACTTTAATTCGCTCACTTTGTCGAGTCCCGCTAGGGAGAGACCATTGTATTCGAATCAAATTCAGGGAGATGAAACATTATCGCAGAACTGTCTCCACCGCTAGTTATACGCTGTATGACTCCAAGGGGTATGTGGGTGCTTCCGTACATTTCAATATCATATATTTTGTCACCATATTGTATCCGACTGATGAAGCACCCTGTATTCAACTTTATATGCACTCATTATGTACACAGATGTCAGCTTTCTGTAATTATGCCGGATTCTTTACATCCCGAGTTAAATGCAAACCATTCGTCTCGCATCTGTCCAATAAAATTACAGTAATATCCAATAAACACTTTTATCCACTAGTTTGTACCGAATTTCTTAGAACTCCTCAAATTCGATTAAGTATTCGAGCCTCCCATGCGTTCAATAAGGGAAAATCTAAGTCACCCAGTCCCTCTGAAAGAACCGGGTTGTGAGAATAAAGACGATTTTCAAGATGTTTCAAAACTATCTAAACTATTTGAATGACGGTCTAGAATTCATTCAACAACCAATTGTGAATGTTTAGTTCACCTTATTTGCGTAGCAATAATTATATCAGTCTGGAATGCGCTTTTATTGCAAAACGGTTTTTGCGAATCCACGATGCCGGTACCACGTAACACGTAAGCTTCAAGGGTACAAGGGTTCAGGTAGGTCTTAGATTCACCTCATTCCCGCTAGTACATATTCAAGGCCTACTTTGAATGCTGCCTCTGCTGAGGTAAGAGACGTTTGCTTTTCGAGAACGATAGTAAAAATGTCGTTTTGAGAGTATCCTAGCCATTACTGGATGCGATTAATATCGAGTTTGGGGAAATGTTATTGCTATTCGTTGTCCGTTTTTGGTTATCAGACTGCGTACACTGATAAAAGCATATGTATGGACGAAGGCTCCGAAGAGGATGTTTCACCAAACATAAAAAACAAGTGGCGTGAAATATGCCCAATTTAAAGCCTAAACTCACTGATATAAATTTGAATTTTTTAGTTCCAGCTTTCATATGCACCTCAAAATCAACAAATATTTACTTTAAAAACAACTTTATCAAGTACCCCAATTTTTGGACACCACTTACAGTACGAGTGTCCGATCGTTATTCATTAACTATGAAGACAGGCAACCCTTCGTGAGTCCTGTATCACATAATTTTATTGAGCTTTGGAGTCTGTGGGATATTGTACACCGCCATGACTGTGCGATGCTTCAGAAAGTGCTTATTTTACTCTATCGTAAGAGCATAATGTTCACTACAGCCTACAGCGGTTTCATCTAGTTGGAACTGATCACGTAGTTGAAGTCCTCAAGTTTCCGTCAAATTTCTGTCCTACTTAAATCCAAATGCGACAAATGTTGACATATACATTCGTTTGCATGCCGACTTGGGTTTGACGGGAGATTTAACTGGAATTCAGCTAAATCTCACGTTTATGATATTTTCATGCAACTAAATGTGCTGCAACAGGCCGCCTCACGTTCCAGTTGCACGATGTTTGAGAAATCACGATGCGTGTATGGAAGTAATACACTATCCACAAGGTTGCTGAAAATTCTTCGACAGCAGACGGCCGGCGTCGCCCTGGGCTCCAGATGGTTCCAGATTAGTCTGCAACTTGGTTGCAACTTGGGTCTAAGAAGAACATGAGGTTGATGGAAATTCGGGGACTTTGCTTAACTGGTGAGTCTTAAGAAGGGCGAAACCGGTCGTGGGCTGTCGAAGAATTTCCAGCAATTTTATGAGTAGTGCATTACGTTCACCACTTTCCCCTAAATTCATGTTTTTATCGCTACCAACTTATCTTTCAGAATCCACAGCCAGCGTGTGATTGCCATGTTGTATTGCTTCCTTATTTTGGCAATCGGTCTTTCACTTTCGCTCTATTGCGCCGGTACGCGGATCGCAGAATTGGAACATTCGTTCGTGGTAAGTGTCTTTGGGAGAATCGACTTTCTCTTTTCCCAAGAGTTCCCTCTAGACTAGAACTGTTTGATGCTCTGAGTCTATGAGATATTAAGGTCATCTTAGGAGTAAACAATGTTGCACCGTACATCGCTAAACACTGAAGAAAGCAAGCAAGCAGCGCATAGTGCAAAATTATTCGTGACAATGTCATTTGTATTGGTAGGCCTCAGATAGGCCAAGGATATTGAACATACGAAATTTTTTGGAGCAATTTAGTAGGCGTTTCATTGGATACGCAGTTGTCCCTGGTGGCATAAAGCCACCGATGGGAACACCAAACATTTTATTTTTCTGGATTTTATTTGGTGTAAACAGCTTTCTTTACAAAGTGAGCATTTTCCTTGCTTGTCCTTTGTCAGTTAACTGATAAGAATAATGAATAGCCGATAGTCGGATTGGATTCGCCGGTCAACAGTGTTGGAATCCGTGTACAGTGCGGGACAGCCGCAGATGCGGTCCACTGAGACTGATGTGGTTCTTAGTGAAAAAACCCCTGGGGCCAATCTTGACCCAAGCGAACAAGATGGGCAGACAAACGTTCAGGGACCTGTTGTAAGCCCAAAAACGATGGCGGAACGATGGACACCGGCACCAGTAACTTGTTTAACAGTACGTTGCTAGGATCAACTGTAGTGTACTTCAATTTTTAGTGTAAAACCGCACCTGCAGCAAATGCCACCGAGATAAATTCTCAAAACGCACCGTAAGTGGTACTGGATAACATAGTGATACGCAGTTTATTCCCTGCGTACACAAGTTGATATCAAACAGGTGTATTTTGGTCGTTTTTACACACGTGGCTAGTAACAACTGGGATCTCATTCCCACTCAACCGTTTGGTTACCAGGTTTCTGAGAATAGACATTAGGCTATAAAGCTGATGCTAGACTTGTTCCGTAGTCTCCGTTTTGGCATGCAACTGTAGGGTCGTTTTGGTAGTACTTGGGGAGTCAAATTGGACGTAAGATGACCGAAATGACTCACGTTCTCACGAATTATTTGAATAGTCAAGAGTCAGCCATTGAAAAGAACCATGAAGGCTGTTCAGTCAAATATTTGTGATCGTTTTATGGAAGGCCAAAGACGTTGACCACGTGTATATGTGGAGCATGCCGCCGCCAACCCATTGGAGATCACCGCGGTAGCCTTAGCTAGAAGACTACGATCAGTCGTGACTTGTTAAAATCCATTTTCTGTATTCATTCCGCGGTTGAATTTAACGAGGTATTAAGTGAAGATACTGGAAGGACATCTGTGTCATCTGCCATATATTCCACACAGATAGTTTCCAAAATTCTTTCCAATAGGCAGTTCTTGGTGAGGCCAGTATGTCATACGTAGCCCAAGCTTCAAGTGACCATACGTAAAAACTGGAAGCAAGACAAGGCAGTTTAGTTTTTAGATTCGACCTGATAACATACCGTGAGCATAAACTAAAGCGCAACTTAGTGACCCCGTAGTTTGCTTCGAATATCCTTCTCCGACTTGTCTTTGGATGGTAAACTAGGGTCCGCAGAGAACAGATATGGAACAGTGGGTGTACTCTTTCCAAGACTTTTGTGTCTCTAAGAAAACAGCGTAGGTTATCTCGAACACAGGAAACGTCTGCACGGAAAACATGGTCCCATCAGACCTGTATCCGTTGGAATAGGTTTAAAAAACCGCCTACTCAATAAACCTCATAAAGAAGACAATGCATAGTACTCTGTACGTCTCAACTTGTTATTCAGTGACGACGCACCCGCGAAGATTGATGAAGTTGATCGAAATGTCTTATTGAGCCGTTCAAGCTCTGCCATTGAATTGTATTTCAAAGAAGATATACCACTTGTTGTTTCCAGTCTTTGGAATGTTTAAACTACATAGCGTTCATTGGAAGCACTACAAGCACTTCCATGAAGGATTCGCGAACATGCCTTTCGTGAAATACACAGAGGCTGACAGACATCCACCTAGTTTGATCGTTGCACGTCTTGTCGACTATAACTAGTCAAAATTAGTCGTAGTTTGATTGCCAACAGCTCACTTACGTGTGCTGAAAGCAGATATCTCCGGTCCTGGAGACACCGATTCATTCTCATATGGATGACGGAAACAATAAACCCTTGTTCAGTGTAGTCATTGACACCGAATTTGTTTCCAGTTAACTGGTATGTGGTCTATTTTAGTAACTTTCAGCGCTGTACAGCATTCATCTGGTAGGCACGGGGTTGGGTTCTCAAGTTTCTTCAAAGGACCTCTGGCATTTGGGTCCTGACTCCCTAACAAGGACCAGTTGATGTTCAAACACGAATACATCTGGTGCAACCTGGAAAAATGTAGACGGTGGTCCAATTGCAAGCCCCTTCTGGTTTTTTCGTAGTGTGCTAACAACAAGCAGGTCCGGACAAGAGTATATATCTAACCTTCTCTTTTTTTCTTACTTCAACAGTGGTTTTACACATGCATGTATTTGACATCAGTGGCCGGGATGATATATATGCTCGTGTACATTTTTCGCAATCGAAATGCCAGTATCGAGGCCATACAGAGGGGGCATTTATCCGCCCCGCGAATACTTTATTCGTTACGTGGTGAGCCTGTCAGTCTCTATCTACGAATCGGACTTTGCAGTAAGTCTCAAAAGTTTCGACTGGCTTTTCGTTGTTTTCAATATGCATCATTCATTGACATATTTCGACGTCTCCAGCTGCTACGACGTGCGTGATGTACGTCAGAGCCTGTCGGATTCCGCCCTCCAGGTTTCTGAGCACCCCAGGACTTTCGCTGCCTTGGATACTTTAGGCCAGCTAGGACATCACGAGACACACGGCGCTCAATACTTTTGAGGAAGACTCTTTTAGGGTAAAACGTACACTAGGTCTTCCTGGCAAGATTCCCCAGGTTAGTATCCTCTTTTCAGATTGTCTAGCTGTAGCATCCTTTCGGTGCCTAGCTGCCATGTTACACGAATGAGGCATGAGGGCTGCGATACTGTCAGGCTGTCGAAGCTTAGACAGGGGAAGTCGAGAGGCAGAGGCCGGGTTCGAACCACGGACTTTCCGGTCAGTAAATTCGCGCTCTAACCACTTGGTCCTATTCTTTGGATTTGTTGCACTTTTTGGTTTCCAGTGACGATTTCTCGAATGTCATACTATGAATAAACATGTTATAATCTGCTAAAAGAGCAGACCTTCGGAAGTACATCCTTTTAAACCAAATAGAGTGATTTTTGTCCCCACTTTTTCTAGACCTAAGTTGCCTACAACTGTAGAGAGGTACTACTCAAAATACTCGTGTTTTCTAATGAATCATGTGATGCTCATGGTCTCCCAAAACTATTTTTTCTTATTTGCTAGGGACTTTGTGATTTGTTAGCGATCAACCGCGCTTTGTAACTCGAAAATGGGCGCGAATTAGATTCGACCTCCAGCCATAACCAAGAACGAAATAAACCAATACCCATAATTGATCGACGAGACTTAGAATGCCTCAAGAGCATCCTATCACACCGTCGGTCCAAGTAGACATCGAGGATGTTTGGTCACTACCTGTTCATTTACCCTCACTGCTGTGTTATGGTTGCCTTGTATGCTTAACAGTAGACGGAGCATATCGTCGTCTGTTCTTGAAATCTCTATTTGACTAAAAGTAGGCCCGAAATCAGTGCGTGATATCAGTGCAAAATCGTTGACAAAACTTCTATTCATATACTCCACCGTTTAACTCGGGTGAAAACGAGACTTTAGTGTGACTAAATGTCAAGGCAAGATTTTCACAATCTACCCGAACATTTGACAGAAGTCATCTTTGTCCATGCTCAATCCGATGAGTTGGTGAGGAAAAGATCTACCTTAGACGTGGTTGAGGGAGTGCGTCGCACAACTGTGACATTGCTGGGGGCCAACAGTATTCTCCACTTGAATCAACGCTAGCAAGTAAGATAAGCACTTGACGGAAGTCGGTTTAGGAACTACAAAAATCACATTATTCATCGCGCTTCCGAGACGATCACAATGTAGGTGGCCGAATGGGGGTGCTTCACTGGGAAATCCATAAAGAGATCAGAGTGGACCTTTTGCTCCATCTTCCATGAGATGCATTTCCATCCTTTTGGTCGCCATGGTAGCAACGATCATGGGCTGGGAGTCATAGGCAACTGCTTGTCTTTGACCAAAGAGGATAAAGTGATAGTACTCATAAGGTTTCTGAAACCTCCAACAGCCCATTGCCGGTTTCGTCCTCCTTGGGGCTCGTCAGATAGGCGCAATCCTCACGGTTCCATCAACTTTGTGTTCTACTTGGAACCAAATTGAACAGATCTCGACAAATACACCCATTTCCATATCAATTTGGTTTTGACGGGAGATTCACCTGGAACTCAGCTGAATCCCTCTTTTATCATGTTCTTAAGCAACTGAATGTGCTGCACCAGGCTACCTCATATGTCAGTTGGTACGATAGTCGAAATAATGCGACATATTGTATGGACGTAATGCACTGTTCATAAGGTTGCTGAAATTTCCTCGTGAGCTCACGACCGGTTTCGCCCTACTTGCAACTGATCAGGTAGGCGCAGCCCCCGAGTCTCCGTCAACCTTGTTTTCTACTTGTACTCAAAGTGGACAGATTTTGACGTGATAAACGAGCAGTTCAGCTGGGTTCCAGGTGAATCCCTCGTCAAAATCAAATTGATAAGCAAGTGAATGTATGTATCGAAATAAGTAATGCCCCTTTCTTAGTTTACACCATGTATCACAACCTTCATTTCTCTGAGTGAAATAAAACCGGTCTTTGTTATGTCATACGTGGACGGAACACAACTTCGTTGTTTAGCAAGACGCAGTTCGAACTTCACTGCTTACGTATGCTTTGAATTTAGACACGACCAAAACATTCTAGGATTTGTTCAACTGAAATCTCCATAGGTTGTCGAAAACTAGTGAAGCCACTGACCGTACACATCGTGAACACAGATTTTGTAGGTCACATTCGTCTCCAACTTACGGCTTGGGTTTCGCCAACTGTAAAACCCTTATGAAGATTCTTGAGAACGTACTGCACACCATATTTGTGTCAATCTGTACGACACCTGACAATAGTTGTTCGAGATCGGTATGCAAATTTGTGCTCATCAAACAAATTAAGTTAATTCTGACAAGTTCGTGGGTATCATCACGCTTCACTTGGCTTTGTGTACTAATTGCATTACCTCCGAATTGATCAATCACGTAAAATGTGAGAAAATTCGCGTAGTGTCTTGTTTTTCATCTGTTTTTCTTTTAAAATGGTGCTATTTTCGCATACTTTGATTCACTAGTTTGACATATTCTAGGTGACACCTAAGTTGCTGTGAGTTACCGCTTAGGCATGCGGTCATCGTTGAACTCAATAGTCTCGGTAAAACTGACATTTTCGCTACTAGAATTGAAAAAAATTGATACTAGAGCTATAATACAAAACAACAAAAGTAAAAATGTGAGTCATCAAGCCGAAAATTTGAAAACAAGTCATTCGTATCCAAATCATGGCTTATATTGACTACAGACTACTTACTAGTATTCACCAGTTGACTCAATGAAGTCCCTGATGGTTGAAACCATATTTATGCTGTTTAGCAGACTGCGCGAAACGGCGTTAGCTCAAGATTTCACTGTTAAATCAGTGAGCAAATCCACTTGTTTTTTAGCATAGGCAGTGTTGGACGAGTTCAGATTCTGAGCAACCTCCGAATACATTTTTTTACTTGACTGTCTTGTCACATCAAATCAAGCCCTTGAACGAAGAACATCATGGCACTTTCTGTGCATGACTGGCTTGTCTATGTGATTCTACCCAAAGCAGAAAAATGCTTTTTTTGTCGGTGCAGATGGTGGGACGTCGGTAAAACAGCCCGAAATGCAATAATGTTGACTGCTTGTCAATAGACGCCACAGAATGAAAGATCCTATTTTAAAAAAGTCTGTTGGTTGACAGACTAGGGTATTGTGGATGCCTATGGAGCACAGGATTATATGTTCTCCTCAGCGAGAGGGCCCATTGTATCAGTACTTTCCTAAAGAATCTTCGCATTTCAAATGAGTAAATTTCACTGACAACTCACTGATTCTGTACATTATTCACCGCCAAATGACTTCGAGTCAATTTTTCAAAACCAGCTCAGCTTGTGAGCCTGGAGGCATTCGGTTTCCCTGTCCAAACTCTCAGGAAAACCTTTCGACATTCGAGGGATGGAGTCATTGGTAGACAGATTAGGTTATTGTCTGATTCAAATAGTTAGCAGTCCTTTCATTTGGGTGGATACATTTAATCCGTTGTTGATATAAGATCACGGTGGTATGGTGGTTCATTGGACTTCCGGCAACTAGTCCACCTCTGGTAGGGTAGCTGTAAAGTTTGTGAACTTCATAGGCACATGTGACATATGGTATGTTTGTTGACCATGCTTTTCAAGGAAAAAATCTCCGGAAGTCGGGGCATTTGAATTTCACTTTCTCCTTGGTGTAAACCTAACCTGTTTAGCTGATTTCACTTGAAAAGAGTGTTAGAAATTCTAATCGTTGCTTCCTCCAAAAAATCCTGTAGTCACGAAAATAGACACTGCAACTTCCGAGGTCACATTTAATTTGAATGCCATGCCATTGCAATACAGATCCTCGTGTGATCCTTGATCACAACTTGGAAGTGATGATAAGTGAACTGTTTATTTGGGTATATGGGTAAACAAAATTTTAACTGTGAGGGAACACTCACTTTGCAAAAGCCTTTGCTCAACAACTCATGCGTTTGTGTTCAAATGACGAATTCAAAATGCAAATCACCATGTGATCAAGAAGTACTCATCAAAGTTAAGCAGTATCTTAGGTGAGAGAGAGAGAGAGGTGAATGGAATCCACACGTGGTAATTATTCCTATTGATGTGTAAGTTTACCTTTCGACTTTCTCATGTGAACTCGCCAGAGGATTTTGCGTTGAATTCACGTGGTCCCCATGGCAACAAAACACCTGAAAATTACCATTCTCCGAGGCACTTATCTGATACAAGGTGGGTGATAATCAAGAGGTCAATGGAACATCGCCTAAAGGATGGACTGCACAGACCGTTTGGTTGAAATGCTTACAAGTACATCATTTTAACAAGGCTAGCAGCAAGAGAACCGCATTCGATTGTATATGCCGCCATGATATTTGGATTTCGGCAGTATCAGAGGAGCTGAATAGCTGCTAAGCAGTAGTCACAAATGGAAACTGACTGAGGAGTTGATGTATACGCAGACAAATCGAAGTAGTACACATTAGGCACGAGCCTTGGGGTAGCGTCTATTGACGAACCTCTAACTGCCAAACAGCTCAATTTCGCGTGACATTTGAACTTTTTTCCTGTTTCACCCACTATGTCAAAGCATTTTAGTGTCTTCCACTCCTGACATTGTCCAAAAAGAGTCGTCAAATGTTCGGACTGAGCATAGAGTATATTTCAGTTTGGAGTAAAGGCAGGAGTGCCTGTGGACTTTTCGTAGAAATTAAGTCGCCATTCTCTTTGGATGCTTGATTCGGTTACCCCCTGACGATCAAATAGTTGTATAACATTGATAATTTAGAAGAATGATAGGGTCATTTGTGACATTGTGAA